ATTTAAAATTGACTTCAACCATCCTGCCTTCCTGCTGCATCAACAATGCTGCCACTTGACTCAGTTTATTTACTAACAGATTCCAATACTTCATTAAAGAGCAGGACCAGGAACAAAGCAGTCCTTGAAGTGGCTTTCAATACAAGTTTTAGCAGTGAAGGAGATTTACAGGTTGAGGCTTAGCCTGAACTGCTTTCAAGATTGCTGCAGTGGGTGAGAGCAGTGCCCTGAGCAGCAATGGCTCATCACCCCACACGGGGGGAACCGGGAGGGGCTCAGGGCTCTGCACCCTCAAGGCCATGATGGAGAAGCTGCTCGTTCCTCCTTGTAGCACCCCTCCTGAGGAGCATCCCTGGCACGAGTTTGGCATCTGCTGCATTTGGCCACTGAGCTGCTGTGATGGCCTCGGGGCTCTGCCCAGTCCAGAGCTCCTCCGTGTCCCCAGGGCAACCTCAGCCTCCACTCCCCAGCGGTGCAGGAGGTCACCCACTGGGGACAACGCTGCAGATCTTCCTGAAGCAGCACTTTAGAGGGGTACTGATCTCCCACAGACAGGGTTTCTTGAGCATCACACAGTCATGTAAGTCACGCCCAAAGCTTTCCCGTGAGGGGCTGACAGGCTGTCCAGGAGAACATGGAATCACCTCTGCCAATAAGCAGAACCACACGGCTTATGTAAAAGCATCTGTATTAATGACAAAAGGATCAAAGGTGGCATTTAAAGAGGTCAAGAAAGGGAATATAGGTAGCAATGTTCCACACAGCTACCACACCAGGGCCAGATGAAGACATAAATGTACATGACAACCCTGCCTGGGGTATCTCTTAGGAATGAGGCTCCCAAAAGCCAGAAATGAAAAGCATTTTGCTCATCCCACCAGGCACAGTCCTGGTACTGGGACAGCCCTGGGGAAACCCCTCTGGAGCTGTGCAGCCTCCCAACTACGAACATCTTGCCCAGATGAACCTCTTCCCTAAGCTGCTGGGGCCCAGCCCAGCTCTGCAGAGCACCCTGTTTGTTATTCACACTGCGGGGCGGAGGCACCACCGACTGAAGGCACTGACTGAAGCGGAAACTGTCCAAGGCGGAGGATTACATCTGAAAGCAAATTGAGAACAGGGACAGCTGAATCTGCCGTGTTTGCAGGTTCCACCTCTCCCCGAGGTTAAGGAAGTGGTAGAGGAGGATTTGCTTGTGTGCATTTCAAAGAGACATTAGCATTTTTCCTGCAAACTGCCCGGGCACCAGGATCATCTGTGCTCGCATCACACAGGAACAGAACGCCCTAACAGGTGCTGCTGAATATGCCCCACTGTGGCTTTGCAGCCTGTTTCTTGAATATCAAGATAGTTTCCACCCACGAAATAGAGGAATTCTTTCCAGAGCTGCAGAGTTTCGAAATTCACTTTCACCTAGATGTCAAGTCAGTAGGAAAAAACCAGCAGTCACATTATCTGTGAATGCAACCAGTGTAAATTTTAAGCCACCAACTCGAAACAGCTCACATTTGACTCTCAGTTAGACTTCATTTTATTTATATCGAAGTCTTTCTACATAGGACTGTATTGGTGCAGAAAACAAGCCCGCTGGGAGTGGAATGAAAGGGAGAGAGTTAAGGGACGAGGAAAACAGCAGACACAGCAAACTCAGATGCCCTAGTTTTGCACGTGTACTTTGACCCAATCTACAATATCTGCTGCAAGAAGCAAGATCCTCCACCTCACACAGAGCAAACTGTGCCTCTGCCCACTGCTGCCAAGGTGTGAACTGCAGATCTGAACTGACCCAGCACAGCTCAAGCTTTGTTGTTATTTACAGTTTAGGCAAGATGCCCGCAGTTTCCAATCACAGTAGCAAAATGACCCCAATGAGACGCAGTTACAGAGAACTTAACTCATCTACACGCTGCCTGGCTGGAAAAGAAAAGTCCATTTGTAGGACATTTGCTTCACTTTGTAATTTTATCTCCGAGTTATCTTATTAATCTATCTCTGAGGGTTTAATGGGGCTAGATAAGGAGATGGCTTGTTTGGATCTCAAAGCAATCAGAGGTAATTGAATGGATTAAGCTTTTTATAGTGCCAGCTACAGTGTTTAAGACATACTCCCAGCATTAACAGATATTTGAGCTCCCCTCTGCCTTAAAGAGTTTGTTTCCTTACTTTGGGTGGTTTTCTTGGCGATTTAAGTTTTCTTTTGCCTTACAAAATACTGAGGTATCAGAGTTTGTTGTTTTCTAAACTGCAGTGCCCAAGTTTAACACCAACAGACCTGAGCCACGGACGTCACTTATTTCAGCCAAACCCCCAGAATCGTTTATATTGCCTTTCATTAAAAACAAACTCCACTTGTACCCCCCAGAGGGGTCCAACACAGCAGAAATCTCCAGCACCAGCCAAGACTCATTCTCTGAATCAGCAAGACCATCACACTTATTATCTCCTAACGAGCTGGACCTGGCTAATTTTAGACAGAAGAGATGGGAACAATGAACAAGCAGTCACTGGAATCATGAGCAGAGTGTCTACCCAGCACTCAACACAGACTGGGTTTTCCAAGGCTCAGTCCTGAGCAAACATGAAGTCAGGCCAGGTTCAGCTTGGTCAGGAATGAACACCCACAGCACGGTTATTCCCTGGCATCCATCCCCCAAGAGCCTCAGAGAGGCAGAAGGGGATCTCTTCTTTTTTTTTTTTTTTTTTTTCCCTCTGGTCTTGGTGGTGGATGCTCAGAGACATACACTTCAGAAACAGAAAATTTTTGAGCTGACCCCTCCATTTCACAGAAGAGAAATGAGTGTCACTCCAAAAGCATCAGAAATGCCTGGCAATCGTGGGCTTGCCTGTGGAATTATTTTGGTGCAGATGTCAATGAAATTTTGTTTTAATCAACAGACACTAATCTAGCTCCATTAGGAAGCTGCTAAGACATCAGGTAAAACATGACCTTTTGGACACTTGAGGAAGTTGTGCTGCAGGGCCGAGGGAGGCTCTTGGCCACACAATTTGGGAGCAGTGCAAGCACTGCACTGGCAGCACATCCCAAGACAACCAGCTCTGGATCTGTTGGTGGCCCACGGGGTCAGAGCTGGCCTCGCAGCGTGGGCCTGTCCCACCAACCGTTTCAAGAGCCCTCGCTCCCACATTTCAAGCTGGCTGATTTTCCTAGCCAGGGGTCTCAGGGAATGAGAGCTGTGGAACTGGAATGGCACGTTTCACCCGCCCCCGCCCCACACACACACACACACACTCTCCTGGGGTGATCTGCGCATCTGCTGCAGCTTTCCAGGCTCAGCAGAGCTGGGCGAAGCCCACCCCGTGTCCATGTGATCACACACTGCCTGAGGCAGGCTGGTGTGAAAGGCAGACACCTCAACTGCCCCCTCAACTCCTTCTGCAGGAGCACAGGCAGCCAGAAATCTGGGGAAATACCTGCCTGAACATTCGGTCTGAGCTGAAGTTAGCTGCTTCGTTTCTCTCTGATCTCCCACTCCAGTTAAACAGTTCTTACTTGAAACATCATCAGGTTGAAGAAAGCACGCCGGAGGGGAAGGCAGGGAAGGAGGGGGGAATCCCTCACCTCTGCAGTTTGCTGCCTAAATCAGTTACCAGCACACAAATTAGCTGATCAGCAGGTCGCATTACACAGCTAGCATTTTACTGGGGCATCCACTGCTGCTTCCTCTCGCCACAACCACCCTTCTAAAGCCAGTGCAGTTCTAAAGACGTTTCCCACCTCACACGTTGCTGTTGTGTGCATCCACAATGTGCACACTGTGAATGTAACAGCAATCAGAACAACTGAAATGAAACGTCTCTTACACTGGAACTAGGTAAAATTTTCAAAGAATCATTAAACAAAGTACCACAATAAACCCACCTGTGAACAGAAAGCTACCTTCCCACCACGAACACGACAACTTAATCCCTTCCCTGTGCTATCACCCCAAAGCCTCCCAGCAGACGTGCTTATCAAATCCTAATTGGTAAGTAGGACTCAAGCAGTCCTCGAGGACCTTGCTATCGACCCATGTTATCAAACAAGCATTCAACAGTTGTACCTTTAGGAGATGATGTCCCAGAAGCTGCCTCTGGGTGGGACTGCAGAGTACTGGGCTCTGTGAGTCCCTCAGCAGGTCCTGAGGACAGTGGTCCAACCTCCAGTTCCTCTTCAATGGCTTCCAGTGTTTTTGAGGTTTTGGTCTTTGACTTTTCCCCATAAGAAGAACTTCCCTGGGTCTCCTCCCTTCCCTGGGAGTCCTGTACTGCCACACACTCTGGGTTCAGCACAGAGCTCTCTTCACTTTCACAGCCCTGGTTTTCCACCAGTCTTTGTGGTTCCTCAGACCTCTCTCCAGAACTCTGGGTTTTGAATTGACTTGACTCTTCTGTTTGTGGATCAGGGCCCAAAGAGTCACTGTTATTTAACTGTTCTGTCATCTGACCCCCCTCTGACAGAGCAGTTTGGAGTAGTGTGGCTTCTTCAGCCTTTTTATGCTCTTGCTTTTCACCATCTGACAAAGGTCCATCCGTAGAAGCTTTGACAGAACAGTGACTGTGACTAGTCTGGTTTTCATTTGCTGTCAACATCTCTTTAATCTCTCTGACTTCTTCTTGGCTATCCCTTCTTCCCACCTCAAATTCATCTACTTCTTGCTTCTGTTCTGGAGTATTTAAGGGAGAACTTGCTTCCGTATCGCTGCAGCAAGAACCTACATCTGCCTCGTTCCCTGAGGGAGAGCTTCTCCCCACACACACATCTGAACTCTCAGGCAGTGCAGTGGCCTGAACTGGCACAACACTTTCACTGACATTCTGGCACAAGACATCAGAACCTTCCTCTGGTGTGCAGCGTGGTCCCAAAGGCCCTGGGACGGACACAGGAGGGGCGTCCACCTCTGTCCTTTCATTCTGACCCTCTCCAGCAGCAGCAGCAGCATTCACAATGGTTTCTGGGCCCTGCTCAGATGTTTCAAGAGCAGCATTTCTGGTGGGACCATGGCTTTCTCCCTCCATGTCCCCACGAGCACCAGGTGTCTGTGCCTTGCAGCTGAGGCCATCTCCAGCACACGCGTCGCTGTAGCTGCACAGCGCGTACCGCCAGTCCAGCGAGCGTTCACTGCCGGCCTCCTGCTCTGCACATGAACCTTCTGTGCTGCAAGCATGAGACTCAGGCACGGGAAAATTATTCCCCATGTTTCCAGGACCAGCTGGTACCAGCTGACCTTCAGGAGACGCTTCTCCATGTGCCATCATTTTGCCGCTTTCTGACGGAATGACATTTTTGAGAACTTCTCCAGGAGTGCTCAGAGTGTCCATCTGACAGTGCTCCTTCTGCATAAGTGCTGACTGAATTAAGTTCTTGGAGTAGGTGCTGTCTTGTGGGACAATAAACCTGTGCTTGCCTTTAGACTCATTCACTCGTGCTCTGGGCTGAGTTAGGTAATTCAAAGCCAGCGATGGGGTTAAAGAGCCTGTTTGTGACCCAAACCTGGGCAGTGAAACTTCTGCCAGCTCAACGTACTCCCCTTCAAGGTCACTTAGCAAGTTCTCTGGAGGCACAGGACTCGTGCAGACACCATTGACAAGAGCCCCACTTAACTGTGGAGCTGTGCTGCTAATGACCAGGTCGTCTCGATTTGGATGTTGTTCCCGTAGGTGCTGAGACTCCGACTCTGGTGAACTGCACTCGGTATGATCCGTGGGGAGGCACAAAATCGAACGTTCCTCTGTTATTTCCGGAGAGATGATACTGTTTTCAATTAATTTTGGTTTGTTTATAAATTCAGGATTAACCACTTTATCCCAGGGGATACGAAATATTTTATCATCAGTGGTTAGTAAACAATTTTCCAGTGCTATACCCATCCGCTCTCCATTGAACGTGCTCAGCCATTCCAGAGTAAAAATAGAGGTATATGAAACTTCTGGAATCACCACTTCCTCTACATTATGCTTGTCCTTTGCCAAACATTTCAGGACAATTCGTGGAGACTTCTTCTCATGGGGGACCACCTGCAGGTAGAAGTCACCAGGCTCCAAGACTCGCCAGTCAATGGAAGCCAGCTGGATTACAATCTTCTCGTGGATGCACAGGGGCCAGCCCGCGTGGCGGAACAGCAACCCGCAGTACTGAGCCTGGGGAGACAAGAGAAAGCACCGTCAGCATCAGGAACACAACTCAGCTCAAGCTTTTCAACCAGAGATCAATGAAACAGTTGAATTTAGGGTCTCTGGTTATTGGTGTGGGGGAGTTTTTCATACTGAGGTCTTCTCTTTAAAAAGCAGAAACAAGAAAAGCCACTGACACAAACCATGTCTGCACGGCAAGTTACACTGGGAGGCTGCAACCTCCAGGAACTGGAAGGTGACACTGCAGAGACAGAGCAGGAGAAAGGAGGCAGCAAATGAGGAAAGCACAGCAGAGCCGCAGAGAAAGGAGGCAGCAAGTGCCATCAGCAAGCTGTGAGGAACTACATTTAACACACAAGCCACTTCCTCATTCCCGCAGCACAGCAGCGCTCAGGCCGAGCCCCGGACAAATCCCAGTAAAAGAACCGAAGTTTCACGGCTGAACTGACTTGACTCAATTATTTACAGCTTTATCACAACTTCAAAAAATAATTTCAGTGCTTTGAACTTTGATTCTGTTTGGGTAAGATTTAAATTAAGCCACGATATAAGCCATCAGTTCCACAATTAATTTCACCTTTCTCTGTATGACAAGGGTTCAGATTCAATTAATTCAAATACTTCACCATAGAGAAACCACAGAATTGGAAGGAACTTCCTGGATCCTCACACACACCTTGAAACAAGAGGTACTGGCACCAAGTAATTTCTTTCTTATGTTCATCAAGCTTCACCTTCAGCCCAGCCAGGTTTCTAATTCTCACTGCACCTGATGAAAAGTTGCTCAGAGCGCCGGAAGCCCAAATCATCCTTCAGATTCAATAATTCCTCCTCCTTGACCCTGCAGCTTATTTTCTGGATGCATTGCCATTGCTTGGACTCACTAAACCGTGCCCCATCACCATAGCACATCCACCTCCAACACCTCCTGGGCCTGCCTGAAGCGTCTCCTCCGCGACGCCTTTTTTTCTTAAAAACACCTCTACTCGCATAAACCTCGATCCCTTTGACACAGTAATTAATCTTCCAGATGACTCCATCATAAATCCTTTATGCAAGAGATTGGACAATGAAATTTATCTCTCTACAGAGAGATGGCTTATGAAAAAAGGTTGGCACCTGCCATGGAGCAAACCACACGAAAACGTTACCCGGTTTTTAATGGCTCAGTTAATTCAGTCCTTGCTCGGTGCATGATGTTGTACACTCAGCTTGTTCTCTGTATTTTGTTACTAGCCCTGACTTAACAGATTCAATAAAATCCCTGTTGCCAGACATTCAGCATCACATAGTAACTTCTTCCACGTTCCAGGATGGAGAGCAGCCAGTCCTCTTTCTTTGACATAGTCAAGTCCATATGATTTCAGTCAGGGCAGTTTTATTTCTGTTCACTCGGTGCAACTGCCCTGCTGTTGTACCCACCCACTGCATCACTGCAGGACAGAACCTTCCTTTAGTTCCCATTTACCTGCCTCACACAGCCCCTCGGCCAATAAAGCACAGAAGTGTCCAAGCCAAGAATTTTGTACGTAAGTTTTTAAACAAAGAGAAATATGCCAGTTTTCCGTAAGAGACTATGAAATTGCACCCTACACCACACCAGCCCCTCTTCTGCCACTGAAATATCTCCTAGTACATATATTAAGGCCATCTGTACCAAAGG